CACTAAAGTATATTGGTTCATGTATTCAATAATATTTTTGAATATAAATTTAAGAACTAAAATTTTCTCTTTTTTAACCTAAATATAAAATGTTTAAATTCAAAAATAAATAATTACCGCTTCAATGATTGAGCACAATTTTAAGAAACAAAAAGTAGTATTGGTGTTGTCCTCCAGCCGACAAGGTTATAAACCTTGCAAAACCAAATCCATTGGTAATAATTTCTTTTGTCCCAAACTAAAATAAAATTTAATTAATTAATTAATTAATCAACTGTTATGAATTTAATTGATGTAATTCAAGGTTCTTGTCATATTAAATAATTTATTTTTTTAATTTGATCAAAATATAATTTTTGAAATGTTTTTGTTTTTGCTTTTTTTTAGAAAATCGAACCGGTGATCTGTAAAGGGGCCATTGATATGGTGCAGAATCTAGGCCGTCCAGATGCATGAAGGTGAGGAGAAAAGGATAAGGCTGAGATTCTGGTCGGCCCATTTCACTAATTATTTGTTTTTAAGGAGATACGGACCCACCTCCCTCTTCTTCATGAAAGCCCAGAAATATACCACGATTCCCACTTAATTTTTTAAGGAATAATCTCGGTAATCATAAAATAATATTTGTTCAAAATTTTATTAATGAATTGATAATATACATATTCTACATACACAGTTACTTGAACTTAGGACTTCGTAATATTCTCTTTTACTAGGCCCGTTTATATACAAGTGTAGCTTGTAACACATCATATGACCCCAAAATTTGGGAGCACTATACATGAATGTTATTTAAGCTCATCCATGTATAATTTTGTACTCTAATTACATTTTCATTCGAAGGGAAATAAATTTTATATTTGGTTCTTTAGAAAATGACAGATAAAGTTGGAAACAAATATTTTGATAATATATTTAATCGTTTTCCATGTTGAATTTTGGTAAAAAAAATATCGTAGATCTCTCATAATTTCAATTTTAACAAATTAATCCTTATTATAAAATATTTTAGGGACCCATTTTAAAAAAATAGCACATGATCTATACATCATTTAAAATATGCATATCTTTTACCACTAAGATCACTTAATAAGTTCTTCACCCTTCAATTTTTTTAAAATAATAATAATATATTACATATCTTTGAATAATAATAATAATAACAACAATTTTAACATTTGTCTATTGTTATCAATTAAATAATAAAAAATTTAATAGCTTAATTACAAAATACTGAACCAGATAATAATTAATTAGATTATATTATAATGGATGAATGAAAATATTTTATGTCAATAAATTTGTTTATAGAAATTAAACAAATAATTATGATTGAAATAATAATTAAATAGTTTGCAAATATATTAATTTCATATGTGATTTATACGTATTAATTTTTAGTTTTCAATATTATATAAAATTATAAAAGGTAAAAAGATCCTTATAATAATAATAATTTTTATTTTAATAAATGATTTAATAATTTTTTATCTAAATTAATGACTAGTTAACACATGATATCAAATTTAATTAACATTTTAATAATATTTTTAGTATATTTTAATAATATTTCGGTTATAGCAATGAATTTTGATTTTAATTATGCTACAATATCGTTAAAATCCAAAATAATGAGATGAATTGGAAAAAAAAACAACATGGTTTCCATGTAATTATTTATGCATAAAACAACGTCGTTTTAGGTACTAAATTTTAGAGATAGATTGATCTTACTATTAATTTTTTAAATAATTCATTTTTTGACACTATGGCCACTACATACAATCAATCATTGCCCATCACCAATCATTTTCGCTGTAAAATCGGTACTAAAACGTCCGCATTTCAATCTTCTTTATTTACATAGGATTGATTTTTCAAGAAATTCACTCAAAATCAACAAAATTAATATATATATATATATATATATATATATCATTTTTAGGGGGTTCGAGAATTTCTTAGATTTTAGGATTTTTGTTGTTTGTTCAAAAATTCAAACAGTGAGAAATATTATTTCAAAAAGATAAATAACATATGTCAAAACTAGTCTCGTCGAACAGTCATCGAAAGATATCAGAGTATTAGCTTGTCGAACTCTTAAATGGGTTTTCGTCAATTTTAAGTGGTCTTCTTGAAAAACTAATCATAAGAGAAGAACTATGTATGAAATGCGAATATTTTTATACCGATCTTATCACGAAAAGTGATTGGTGATAGATAATGATTAGCTGTTGATGACTTAAAAGGTGCAATGTCAAAAAGTAAATTATTTAAAAATTTATTGACAAAATCGATACATTCTTAAAGTTTAATGTCTAAAACGACGTCGTTTTAAGTATCAATAGTCCTCGTTAAAACAACATTATTTTATCTATATTGTTACAATGATAGAAAGATTTCCCTATGTTATCATGTCGTTAAAATTTAACTGCTTAACAGTATAATTGAAAAACCAATATTCAATGTTAAAGTTAAAAGTTCAATTGCATAAATGATATATTACCTAAAGTCTAATGGTATCTAAAATAATTTATTCTAAATATTGATATAAAATAGTAAAATTTAAAAATATTATAATTACTATAAATAAATTAATATCAAATTAATTTATAACATTAGTTTAATTAAAATGTTATGTATATATATAGAAAATAATAAGGATGATGATGATGAAATATTATTAGCAGTAGTAGTAGGTCGGCTGGGGTTTTCACTACTTCCCCCATGAGTAGCCCCATCAGACCACTACTCCTCGTGATATGTTTCTTATATCTTGTATTTTTTTACTATTTTCTATTAAATTAAAAGAAAAAGACAATTTTTTATTAGTACAAAATGCTTATAAAAATGATTTAGTAGAATTTTTAATTTAAAATAAAAGACAACTCTTCACTTTCACATATATGGATATTCTTCTTGGATGTGGGCGGTGCAACAGTGGATTAGTTTATATATATATATATCAGTTATATTTAATCTATTAATCAATTAATTTAAATTATATACTACAGATAAGAATAATCTTTTTAATCCAAATTATTTTTTTTGTTGATGCTCTATATATCATTGTTTCTCTCAATTACTATTAAGTTAACTATTACATGGTACAATTACACTAGCAATTGATGTAATACTCTAATTTAAACGTATTTGGAGTCGATCCTAATATGGTTTGTATTGATAAATTAAGTGATCTGAGTAATTAAAAATAATAATTTTTAAAAAATATTTAATTTGAGCAACTGTGTCTGTAAGATATATATTAAAAAAATTAGTTAATTTTTTTTTATGAAGATATATACTCATAACGTAAATTGAGTGGTGAATCAGGTCACGATTCAAGGACAAGAGTCATCAGCTTCCTCAAATCATGGCATCTGGTCTTTTGTAGCAGACAGTAGCAAATGGAAATCACATTCAAATGGGCCATATATAATCCTAATTTTTTTTCCATTCAATCATATAAAATACAACCCTAAATGTTTAACATATGATTTTCTTCCCTCACGAACTAAACGACTTCGGTAATAAAGAAATTATTATTATTCTTTAAAGTCTTGGGTTTAAGTACATAAATATTAAGAGTATAAACGTTCAATATTAAAATAATCGTTGTTGTTCTTAGAGATCATGAGTTCAAGGACCAGCGACTACATGGGTAATTGAATATTTATTGTTAAATGATTGAAAATATTTAAAACATATATTACTTTGTAATCAATTTTAACTTAATTCCAAAAATAATATCTTTAAATAAATACTTACGTGTATTTACCATAAATTAATAAAAAAAAAGTATAACTTTCTTTCCCCCCTTTATTTTACTTTTCAAGAGAGAAAACGAAGGGGTCGGCACAAGATTTAATAAACTCTTTCTAAATAAAAAAAAATTATATATATATATATATATATGTCATTAATTTGTAATTTCCTTTCTATATGTTTTTAATGGCTGTTGCAATGACAGGTGTGAGTAGTAGGGAGTTTGCAAGCACATGTAAAAGCTTATTGGGTTAAATTATAGAATTATAATTTTTATAACAAAAATTGATCCAATTATTTAAAATATAAATTTTTATGTATTTTATATAATAATTTGTCACATTAAATTTGTACTAAGTTTTAGTGATTGTTGTATCTCTTTTGAAAATTTTCAATGTTTTTCTAAACTTCTAGTTTTTTTAAAATTGTATTGAGTTTTATATCTTTCGGTCAATTACTTAACGTGATCATTGACAGATTTCTATAATTTTCTAACTAAATTTACCATATACAGGTAAATCTATTTTTCCTGTCTACTAACGAATAGTCATAATTACTCAAAGTCTAACATCAACACTAAGGACAATGGCGGATATGTGTGGTTTATGATAGACAAGTGTTCACCCTGAAATCTAAATTTTATTCAATTAGTTATTTATTTTATTATTTATGTTTACATTAAAATTTTGTGTGTGCCTACTCTCTTATATGTTCATTCTAAAAATTATTTCTAGATACGACATAATGTAATATATATATATATATATCACTATGCAAGATGGATAGGAGAATCTCAAGACTCTTTTTATCATCTTTTTCATCTAATCAAATTCTCTCTCAACTCTCACCAATTATTATTCATAATTCTCCGTAAAAAAAACATCATAAATAATCGTAATCTCATTCTTTCCATCAACAAATTCATAAAATCTTGGTTAGAAATCATTGTAATTAATTATAGACAAAAGTAAAATCCATATGTAAGAAATGACGAGGTGGTCAGAAGCACCATGTGTCGTGGCTCGGCAATAGGGATTCAACTGAACCCCATCCCCATGTGACATTCAACAGTTTTTGTCTTTTAAACTTTAACACCATTTTAGCTGATTTCATTCTTTACGGCCCCCCATGTGAAGGTGGAATCACCAATGTCAACTTGGTTATTTTGCCAAAATCCAAGGTATTTCTTATACCTTCCCATGCATATAACCCCATCCTCTCTCCTAGCTTCACCGGACACATCTTCCTCCTTTTCTTCATTCCTTCTTGTTCATAATTTTTGTCAAAAACCACATACTAAACTCGCAGCAATGAGAGGGCTGGTCTTATTGTTGGTGCTCCTTTGCGTCACCTGCCGTTTCACCCTCGCCGTAACCGATAGTACCGCCAGGAACGGTACGGTGGCCGACGGTAAGAATACATAAATTCATGCATTTGTCGAAATGAAGAGGAAAGGAAAAGAAACTATAGTGTTTAGCAGGCTGTTTGTGTTCTGGTTTAAGCAGTTTGCAGGGCTCTAAAAATCCTTTTTCCTTGCATTAATTAGCTGAATTCTATGGAATATGGGTATTCATTTTTTGGTTTGGTTAGTTTTTTTAATTGTTATAAGTCATAAATAGTTTAATTTAATAAGACAAATCCCTATAGGATACTGAGCTAGTGGAAGAATTTAAGGCGTTCGCAGATAGGTACCAACCTCAGGCAGAATTTTTTTACCATTTTGGACCTTTGGTGGTAAAAAAAAGTGACTTTTTGACCCTTTAATACTTGGCTTAAACTAAATATAAACCCTTATGTCATTTTTTGCTTTAAGCTCTAACACTATGTTTAGATTAAAATAAATATTTAAAATATTATATTTAACTATTCTAAGTCCCGTCATCTTTTTTCAGTTACAATTTTTTTTCAACCAATAAGATGTTGTTATACCTCACAAAATTAGATACTTGTTTGACAAAAAATAGTTTAGGAACTTAAAAGAGAAAAAAACATAGTTTAAGGACTTATTTTTAGTTTAAGCCTTAATACTTCTGTGCCTTTTTTAACATGATAATGGGATTCAGGACTACTGGAAAATGGGAACTTTGAGAACGCCCCAAATGCAACAGACATGAAAGGCACCGTGGTAATGGGACGCTACGCGATACCAGGGTGGGTGAACAACGGTTTTGTGGAGTACATAAAGTCCGGACAAAAGCAAGGGGACATGTTGCTCGTGGTGCCCGAAGGGGCCTATGCCGTTAGGCTCGGGAACGAGGCATCCATCAAGCAGAAAATAAAGGTTATCCCGGGGATGTATTACTCCATAACGTTCAGCGCGGCTCGGACTTGCGCTCAAGAGGAGAAGTTGAACGTTACAGTGGCGCCCGATTCCGGCGTGATGCCGATCCAGACGGTGTACAGCAGCAGTGGTTGGGACAACTACGCATGGGCCTTCAAAACAATATCCGATGTTGCGGAGTTGATTATTCACAATCCAGGAGTGGAGGAAGATCCGGCTTGTGGACCACTCATTGATGCTGTTGCAATCAAGGCTTTATATCCTCCTAGACCAACCAATAGTAAGTCTTCTTTTTTTAACCCCGGATGGTAATTTTTACAATAAAATGTGGGGTGGCAATTGTTTTCAGAATTATGATTCAGATTTAAGCCAGCTGATTGTTGCAGACAATTTCATTTAAGAAACTAGCTACTGCTATACCTAACAAACACCTTGGGCCCCTTTCACATGGCATCATTCAATGCTGTTCTAATAGTACATTGTGTCATGATAGAGTGAATTCAACTACTGATTATTCGAGTTTTTCTATTTCCGCAGGGAACATCGCGAAAAATGGAGGTTTCGAAGAAGGTCCATACATATTCCCCAACACTCCATGGGGTGTCTTAGTCGCACCCAACATCGAGGATGATCACTCTCCTCTCCCTGCTTGGATAGTTGAATCCCTTAAGGCCGTCAAATACATTGATTCGGAACATTACTTCGTGCCTCAAGGGCGAAGAGCAGTGGAGCTAGTTGCCGGAAAAGAGAGTGCCATCGCTCAAATAGTCAGGACCATCATCGGCAAAATGTACAGGCTCTTGTTTGCCGTAGGTGATGCTAACAACTCTTGTGCAGGCTCTCTGGTTGTCGAGGCATTCGCTGGCAAAGACACACTCAAAGTCCCATATGAGTCGAAAGGCAAAGGTGGATTCAAGCGCGCCGAGCTTAAATTCAAGGCTGTTTCCAACCGAACAAGAATCATGTTCCTTAGCACGTTTTACACCATGAGGAGTGATGACTTCTCTTCCCTGTGTGGCCCAGTCATCGATGATGTGAAGCTTTTGAGCATCCGGAATCCCCAAAAACCTTGGTCATCATCGACCTCTATCATTATAAACGTCAATGAAGCAAGTTAGATATGACCCTGAATCTGGATAAATTGAATCTTTTTCTATTCTAAGAATGTTCATTTTTCCTTTTTTTTGGCATGTTGTGTGAGCTTAATTAGCCTATTAATCGGACAATATAAACATATATAATACTATTAATATGAGGGTGGTATACTACTATGATTTAATAGTTTATGTATTTTATCATATAATAATAAATGAGAAAAAAATAGTTAACGATTCATTATGCGAATGATTTAACACAAAATATATTACATAAAAATAGTTAATAAAATTATAAAACAGAAAACAAAATTGTCATCAAATGCTCCAATCAAGCCATGCAGATTTCGTTAAGTCATGCTTTTCATTTATATTCTTTTTAATGTTTTACATTTATATATAAATCATGGAAGAGAAACTTTCAACATTGAAATCCAAATTCTAATGAGTTTAAAGAAGGGGCTAATGTAGAGGGAATATAAGGCTATAAGCTCAAAATGCACTGCAGCTCAATCTTTTTCCTTGCCCTGAGAATTCAGATCATATCTTTGCTTAACAATTAGTCGACGGACAACAGTGTTTCTGGCCGAACTATGTCATCTATCCGGGTTACTTCTATAATGAAGCACAAATGAAGACATTACTTGACGCCAAACGTAAACAGAAAAAGAAAAGGAGGATTTGAGGGTGGAACTCGAACACTGAAAACAAATATTTTGTCTATGTAAGCAAGAGGCAGGCATGAAGAGAAAAATAATATCACTAGTTCACAACATATTAACCAACCGACCAAGCAGAAAGAAGATGGGAGGGACTTGGATTTCGAAAAACTTATTCGTACATCACAATTTCTGAAGTAACTAAGAACTATATGTCAAAAGTCACTTTTATGAGAATATGTCATTACCATATCATTGGAAGATTGCAGCCTTTTATATAGATCCCACATGACCCTAAGACAACCTGGGCGATTGATGCGGCCATGCACGAGCCTACTGCAAAATCCTTAACAACTTAATTAGACAAACTGACCAAGCAAAAAGAAGATGGACTTGGATTTCAAAAAGTTAAAATCAACACTTACATTGAAACATGGAATTCACTGTATGCTTTTTTTCAACAGTCTTCGAGATCATTTGAAATATGGAACACCTTAAAAGTACATATTTGTTGGCTATTTATGCACATGAAACTAAAGTAGACAGATTTTCACCCTTGGCTTTTCCATTTACAAGTATATCATAAGTAGTGTCATCAGGTACAGGACCTCTATCAAGCATTTCATTATGCAATCTCAAAGCCTCTTCTAGATTCCCTTCTCTAAAGTGTCCAGCAATCAAAGCATTATATATAAGAACATTAGGAGTAATGCCCTCTCTATCCATCTCTTCCAAAATCTTGTGAGCATTCTCAAGCTGTCCTTTATTACAAAGACCATTCAACAGAATAGTATACGTGACTATATCAGGCACAATACCCTTGGCAAGCATCTCTGAGTAAAGATCGGAAGCAAGGAGTAATTTACTCTCTCTCAAATATCCATCAATTAATGTAGTGTAAATATGTAGATCACAAGGAATACCCTCGTTTATCATTTTCTTGTGCAAGTCAATAGCTGCTTCCATATTATTTACATTCCTAAACCCACTAATCATGCTGCTGTAAACGATTTTATTTGGAGATAACCCAACTTGTTGGAGTTCGGAAAAAAGATCACATGCTCTGACCATGTCTCGCTTCTTGCAAAACCCATCAATGAGGGCACTGAATGCAAGAACATCCAATTGCAGACCCTTGCTTTTCATCTCATAATGCATTTTCAAAGCAAGATCCAAGTTATTGCTTTTGCAAAATCCATTCACCAAGGTGGTATATGTGATGACATTAGGAGAAACTCCACTTTCATTCTCTATAAACTCCAAAGGCAGAGTCCATGGCACCCTCTTTAACAAATCCATTAATAATGCTATTTTATGTCAAACATATAGGGGTAAAACCCTTTAGGACAAACATCTTCAACATATCCCTAGCCTCACATGTACGACCAACTATGCTCAAACCATTAATGATTATGTTGAATGTGAAGTCTGAGGGGGAAACCTGCAAACCCACCATTTCATCAAACTCATCTAAGGCCCGTTCAGCATCACCTTTTCTGAAACGTCCATCAATTAATATAGAATACGTGATGGTATTAGGTTTAAAGCCATGTTCAACCATATCTGAAATTATAGTATGTGCCATATCCATATTCCCCGCTTTACAGTTGGCAAGTTTCATGTTATTATAAGAAACATTACTAGGTACAAGGCCATTAGCCACCATTCTCTTCCATAAACTGCAAGCTTCTTTCACTTTACCATCCTTAGAGAAATGGTATAAGAAAATATTGTATGTAAAAACATTGGCAATGCCAGCCTCAACTGCCTCATCAAACAAACTAGATGCCTCATTCAGCGAGCAAGCTTTTAAGAACCCATGAATCAAGGAATTCATATTAAAAACACTAGGTTGAATACCCATGATTTTCATTTCTTCATAAAGCTCATATGCCTTTTTAACAAACCTATTCCTACAACACCCTTAAATCAAAACTGTATAGGTAACCTTGTTAGGAGCAAGGCCGTCATCCTTAATCTTATTGAACAAATCCAAAGCCTGATCAATATCACCTTGCTTGCAATATCCCTTCATTAAACTAGTCGCCGCCACCAAATTCAACGGCTTCCCAGAACTCAACATCTCATCCTTGAGCCTCAACGCCTCTGCCAAATTTCCCTGTTTTATGAAAGCGCCAATGACAGTTGTGTATGAACTCTCAGAAGGAACCCATCCCCTACCCTCCATTTTCCTCAATAACTCTGTAGACATGTTCAAATCAGGTTTCCGACAAGCAACATGAATAGAAATCCTATAAACTGCAGCATCAAGGTCTATCCCTTGAGTCTTAGCCTCCCTAAAAAACTCCTCACCTTCCCAAGGCTTCCCTTCTTTCAAAAAAGCACGCATCATCGCATAAACCGTAAAACAATCACCTCTAACTCCAATGGAAACCATCTTACCATACAATTCCCTAGCTTTATCCATCAAACTCCTCCTAACCAATGCTGTTAAAAGAATATTCATATAGGGAATCCAGGGAACTATATCACGCTCAAGCATCCCATTAAAACAATCCACGGCATCATCAAACCTGTTCACTCTAACATAACTGTTTAACAAATAATTAAAAGCTCGCGAATTCAACTCAAAATCAAATCTTTTCGATGTATCAACCAAGTGATCTAAGAAAACAAATGGGGCAGGTCCTGAATGGTCCGAACCAAAATTATTGTTAAGCAAATATTGAGCATGCTTATGGGTCTGTGAAGAACCTACCAAAATGTGAAGCAGTACACACAAGCCATCAATGCTATCGACAAAACATCTCTTCTTTTCGATGGAACGAAAGTACTTCAAAGCCGATACGGAATCGTTTTTGTGGGATAGGAGAGTGTTTATCACATGGGTTTGGGTCAAGCTTGTATCTTCCGACGAGGATGATGGTAAATGGGGGTTCTCGGAATCCGAAAAGGGTTGTTTACTGGTGGGGTGCGAATCTGAGGTGATTTTCTCAGGGGAAATGGTGGCCGTCGGATTTGGAGTGTGGGGAATTGGTGTTTGGGGATGAGAGCAGAGGTGTTTGGGGCTTGAGAAATAACGGAGAAGGAAAGGTGGAATGGATGAAAGATTTTTTAATGGAGACTTCATCTTCCTCGGCAGACAGTCGGACCAGAGCTTGATTCCCTCTCTTTTCTTTTTGGCAAATAGCTTGACGTCGAAACCCAGATTTTGAACGGTCAATCGGTCATCGAATAAAATTAACAACTACAGAACTGGTCACTGTATTGTAAGTACATTTAAATTTAGGTCATCTCATTCCAAAAAGTAATAATGGAGTCACTTTCTTTTTATAAGGCAAAGTGGCATGTTGTTACAATTTATAAATAGAGTGACATGTAATGTAATTTCCCCATAAAATTTAGTTAATAATAATAAGGGTAAACTACTCTAAATTGTCACTATTCCTTTAAGGGTTTCCCGGTTTTACAACTAAATTTTAAATTGATTCAATTTTAGTACTAAACATTTGGGGTTTATAGATTTAAGGGTGTGTTTGGTTCACAGAATGTAAGATTACCAATGGAAATAAAAGATTACCAGGGAATAGGATTACTGGGAATGTGACATTACTGTGTTTGGTTGGTTTGGCAGGAATGTAAGATTACAGTGTTTGATTGGAGGAATAAAAGATTACTAGAATGTATATTTTATCAAATTGTCCTTGTTCTATATTTGTTTTTTAATAAGTGAAATTCTAAATATTTAAATAAAAACTATTTATATAAAAATTCTATTTTTTGATAATATATTACTTGAGTATTTAAATATATCATGTATTATTTTTATTTTAATTAATATTAAATTTTACATAATTTATGTAAAAATATATTAAAATTTTACATCAACATTTAACTAAATATTTACATTGTGGAAATTCTTCATAGATATTCATAATAATAAATAGATGTATATTATTTTTGTTATATATGATATAATATTTATTATATCTTCTATATACAATAATTTATTTATTTATCTTTTATATTTATACTTAATTATGCATACTTTATCATTATTATTTATCTCATTAATTTATATTACAAAAACATATTTATGGAAATTCTTCATAGATATGCATAGGTATGTAATTTAATTATTGTTTTTAAGCGCGTTATATCAACTTGCAACTTGACTCAGAATGGTTATTCTAAAATTTTAAGTGGTTAAGAAGACAACTTACGGCAAATCCACCTTACGAACATTATTACATTGCCAGCATTATTACTTTGTTTAGCTGTGTTTTGAGCAAAACAAATAACGGTGAATAAGCAAATTTTTTAACTCTACCATACGCCAGTGATGCAAATGACAAGATCAACACCATTGGAAGCAGTGAAGGAGCTCCATATGATTGTAGGGTAGACCCTCATTCTGTCGGGTATCTCTCTTTCTCTCATTCTAGTTTGAATGTTGATCTAGCATATAAGAATCGTGCTATATGTAATGATTTTTGTTCTCTGCAGCTATGCAAAGCCTTGGGTGGATATTGATACTGGTAATTCATTTGCCTATTCTTCCCTTACTCTCCAGAGCATTTGGTCCGCACCGCACCCAAGTTGAAGAACATGAAACCTTATATTTATGTTTCCATCAATGCTTCATTGAAAGAACATAGCCATGTTTCTGGATCCGCATCTGCACTTTTTGTTGGGGGATTTTCCATAGTGCAAATGGGAAAGGTAATTGGTTGATGATTTATATTATTTATTCATTCAGTAAGGAATACTTATCTCAAATTCGTGGATTCTTTGGTATGTTTGTATGTTGTAACAAGTTTTTTGTGCATTAAACGTGAATAAGGATCATGGCCGATTTTCTAAATGTTTTGTGTTTCAGGATACGACACAGTTGAATCTGACACCAGACTCTAACAAGTCTATCATAACCATCTTGGGAAATACAGGTAAAATACTCAGGCACACAATCCGTCTCTTTCTGTGCATCTCCTCGCCTCGATTGCAACTATGAAGCATTCACGTGCATCAATTTTTGGTTTTGATAATTGGAACTTCTAAAATTCTGTTTTTCTACCTTTTAGAAAATGTCTGAAAATTTTCTTGAGTTTGTATGTTTAATCTCATAACGTAAACTATATGCCAACCTATGCATAAGTGCATTGTTTGTACAATGCTTCCTTCCCACTTCCTACTGCCTGAATAATTTCTACTCATGTCAATCCAATCATCTAGAACCAACAGCGAACCTAACACTACACTCGTCAGTAAAGCTGTAGGAGACCTTAGAACGATGAACCTTCCAAAACCAGCAGACGAGCGTCACTCACCCCAAACCAAGGTAAAATTTTCAATGGTACAACACCCTGCACAATGAGCCACAACCTTCAGAACTGAAAACTCAACTTGGGCACCAGCAGAACAATCCCAAGTTACGATAGAACTATAAAGTCAGATCCCACTATTCCTCCCAAACAACATCACTCGAACAATACCAAGATCAAAACTGCAATGCTTTCAATGAAAAAAAAACTTATTAGAAAACTAGCACATTACTTGCAACTCATATACTACATAACAAAAAGAAGTATAACATTAACCATCAAAAGATTGTACAATGTTCAGACTTACAAAAGATAATAGCCATGACATTCTAAACGTAATCATATATGTTGGATATATTATATACACACAAAATTCTTCAAGTCAAAAGATTGACATATACTTGGCTAAGCTACACAAAAAAGTTGGGACCATATTCTAAAGTCACAATCAAAAAGAGATCGACATAATTGTAGAAGGACGACGGTCAAAATGATGGTCTAAATTGACGGCATTCAACCAATTGCTTAATCACATAATCTTGCTTGAATTCTTTTGGCTAAGAAAAGAAGAAATCTGCATTGTGCACATCTTTGCTAATATACTCTCCTGTAGTAAGCATTTCATCAGCGGACAGTCCTTCAATTTTCATGATTTCAGTGAAAATCGACATTCTTCGATCATTTCCTTCTGCCTCTTTTTTCAATAAAGCAGTAATATCCTTAATTTCTTTGGCTGTTTCTCGGTATGCAGCACCGAACTTACTTATCTCCTGTACAAGCTCGGTTAACCCATCATCACTTTGAGACCTTTTCTTGCTAGCTACTTTTTTCATTGTAGGGGTAGAGCCAGTAGCATCAGATGTTTGGCAAGTTAAAGCACCAACATCCTCTCTTGATTCATAATCTCTTACTCCATCTTCTTCAAGTAATGCATCTATAAGTGCATTGTCTTCTACATCAATATGTTTCACTGCATCAGCTATTGTCTCCGCTGCTGTTCCTGTAGCTCTTTCTTTTCCAAATATATGAACAAAGTCATCAAAGAATAGAAATGACTTGTTTCTCAATCCAGCAGCAGTTGGATGACTCTACAATATAATAAAATCGCAAATTTAATAAATCTTACAAAGCTAAGTAAATAACAAAGAGTATAGAAAGAAGATAAATTCAATTAAAATACTTACTCTAACCCAATCATCAAACACATCCTTTGGTGCAGTTAAACATTTTTCTTCTTCATTCCAACCGAATCCACTTCCAATATTCAGCATTTCAGATAAAGCATTGTATTGTCTTTTGAGTAGCTTCACTCTAGATTCAATATGTGGATGGGCCCTAATTTGTGATATTGGAAGCTTGATTTCTAACATCTTTTCAAGGTTAGATAGATAACCTGATCTAAATGTTCCATTATCAGCTTTCCAATGTGGGTCTTCAGCCAAAATGTGTAAACATTCAACAAGTGTAGCATCCTCCTCTTTAGTCCATGTCCTTTTAGTTCCTAAAGACTTAACCTTTCTAGATATCGGTTTTTCCCCTCTTTGAGATTCCATATTTGATGTTGACATATTGCTCTTCGAAACAATCTAAGAAGATGTATATAAACAATCATTATCAATACTAATCATAAATGAAATTTAAAATAGTAACATAATATAAATCAAATGTAGTGAATGACATAAGTAATGAATGGCCATAACAAATAAAATTTGAATTTTATAGGAGATAAATACATAAAATTTAATAAAGTTTATTGATAGGGAAGCGGTGGCGGATTGATGAACGTTGCTCTTGTTGAAGAATCAAACCTAGAAAAGCTCTAAACTCGATGAAGAACAATAAGGAATGAATGAGGAAGGTGGCGGCAATAGCTAGGGTTCTTTAGGGTTTCTTTTAGTGCTGGAAACAAGAAAAGAAACAAGATTAAAATAAGATAAACAAAAGATAAAGGAATTAAAAATAGAGAAAATAACCAAGAAATCAAAGATCTCCCTTATGAAAGTGAACGGTAAAGATGATTGATGGCGTTGATGGATGTGGAAAATCGATGGATAATGTCCTATCGAGCCCTCCTAGTCGCAATGAAAAGGCAAACACGATAATATGGCTCTAACCAACCCTCCTAGTCGCGATGAAATGGCAAATTGGAGTGTGAAGATTAATCTCCCTCGCAAGAACTTGAAAGAACTCCAGGAGAAGAAGCTTCGAAGGCACAAGGCAATCAGCACTTGCAAAAACAAACTCTCGTTGTATTATTGATCAAAGAAATCTGATTTACAAAGTTGAATGAAGCCTCCTTTATATAGGGGCTTAATTTTAAAGGTCCTAAATAACTAAAGAATAAAATATTAATAAACTAAACATGTTTTAACTCTAATTCCTAATAAAATAATAATAACTAAAAATATTGTTTTAACCCAACCTTAATTCCTAATAAAATAATAAATCTGATCCTAAAATATAATTAATCATCCTATATTAAATTATATTACAAATAATCAATATAAATATTGAAAATTCGTAATATTTACAAAATAACGTATTAATCCCGTATAGGATTTCCTGCATGCACCGTCTTCAGTAAAATGACCATATCTTGAGTTTCCGATATCGGATTGATGCGATTCAAGAATCGTTGAAAAGATAAGAGACAGACGGTTGTATCTATAGAAGACATGTCGACCGGATAAATACTGGATCCCCTTCAAAATGTTGTTGCAAATCTGCTGCTATTAGACCCTTCCGGATGAATGCTTGAACTGCGATTTGAAGCTTGTCTTTAAGAAGTTTGGTCCGGCCTCGTGTGATAGGGCCAAGTGGTATAGTAAATTCATCATCCTTAGCTTTAGGGCATGTGGTGCATGTATCATCTCCCCCTTCCTTAAAAGGATTCGTCCTCGAATCTGAAATATCAAAAGGAGATAAGTCAGAAACATTAAAGGATGTACTCACGTTATACTCACCGGGAAGATCAATGCGGTAGGCGTTGTCATTGATTCGTTCAAGAACTTGGAATGGGCCATCGCCTCGTGGGTCTAGCTTGGATTTCCTTTGTGTCGGGAACCTTTCTTTTCTCATGTGAACCCATACCCAATCTCCTGGTTCAAAGGTGACATGTCGTCGGCCCTTGTTAACTCGGTTTGCGATTGCCTCATAGGTTTTCTCCATCTTGAGTTTGGCTTTGGCGTGAATGTATTTGACAAGGGCAGCCTTCTTTTCACCATCTAAACTGGTAACCTGATCTAAAGGTAAGGGAATAAGATCCAAAATAGTTAGTGGGTTAAAACCATAAACTATTTCGAATGGTGAATAACCTGTTGTGGAGTGAATGGATCGATTATAAGCAAACTCAACAAAAGGTAAACATTCTTCCCAATTACGGGTATTCTTACCTACCACAGTTCTTAGCAAAGATCTTAGAATCCGATTTATTACTTCGGTTTGTCCATCGGTTTGAGGATGACAAGAAGTGGAATAGAGAAGTTTTGTGCCAATCTTACCCCATAATACCTTCCAAAAGTGGCTTATGAACTTAGTGTCACGATCGGACACAATGGTGTGAGGAATGCCATGAAGGCGGACTATTTCTCGAAAGAATAAATTAGCAATATGTGTGGCATCGTCCGTTTTATGGCAAGGAATGAAGTATGCCATCTTTGAGAATCTATCCACAACCACAAAAATACTATCTCATCCTTTTTTAGTGCGGGGTAAGCCAAGTATAAAATCCATCGATAAATCGTTCCAAGGAGAAGAAGAAATTGGTAAAGGCGTATACAAACCATTAGGATTTACCTTTGACTTTGCTTGTTTGCACGTGATGCATGATGCACAAATCTTTTCCACTGTTTTACGCATGTGTGGCCAAAAGAAGTGTTCCATGACCATATCAAGTGTTTTGTGAATACCGAAGTGTCCCATAAGTTCTCCGGCATGTGACTCGTGAACCAAGAACTCTCGCAAAGAGCCTTGTGGTATACACAACTTGTTCATGCGAAAAAGAAAGCCATCTACAAGATAAAACTTATTAAAAGCACCTTTTACACATTGTTTATAAATCTCAGAAAAATCTGGATCGTTAGGATAAAGTTCTTTGATATGTTCAAAACCCAGAACAGTAGCATGCATTCGAGTGATAAGTGTGTATTGTCGGGATAATGCATCAGCTACGATGTTATCTTTCCCTTGTTTGTATTTGATGATGTAAGGAAAAGATTCAATGAACTCAACCCATCGAGCATGTCGTTTGTTTAACTTACCTTGTCCATTTAACCATTTGAGTGATTCATGGTCCGTGTGAATGACAAACTATTTAGGGAGAAGATAGTGTTGCCACACTTCGAGTGCTCGGACGAGTGCAAGAAGTTCCTTGTCGTAGGTAGAGTAGTTCAATTGTGCACCTTTTAACTTTTCACTAAAGTAAGCGATAGGTTGTCTTTCTTGCATGAGGACGGCACCAATGCCTATGCCTGAAGCATCACATTCTAGCTCAAAGGTGTTAGAAAAATTGGGAAGACGAAGAATAGGGGCAGAACATAACTTATCTTTAAGAAGTTCAAAAGCTTTTTGTTGTAGTGGTCCCCATTTGAATTCAACTGACTTTTTGATGATCTCGGTTAATGGTG